CTCAACAAGGTGAACTGGTTGCATTGACATGTGCCTGCTCTTTAGCTTTCAGTCAAAATGTTTCAATTTACAGAGTCTAGATATGCTTTTGGATGTTGCCATGAAATTTGGGGAAACAGGTCATCTTACTTCATCTGGCATCCCTATAAAAAATGCTCAACAAGATTCTGTTCTTCTCCAGGCTATGCTCCTCCCAAATAAAGAAGCTGTTGTGAAGTGTGACGCTCATACCCAATGCATGGAGTCGGTGGACCTAAGGAATGCACTGACCGATGAAACAGCCAAGGCTGTGGCTAAACAACAAACGCTCCCATGTGTGGCTTGCACTGACAACTTAAACAGTGGTAAGATTCTCCACAGGCCTGAGTGCATGCTAGTTGCTAGTTTAAAAGCACATACACACACACACACACACACAAAGACGTGCACACATGGTTTTATGTTTAAAAAGCATGACTGCCTGTCATGTTTTCAAAACTGAAAACATGACAGCAAAAGTGTAAGAAATTAATTAGTTATTATAATTAACTGTTTGTCTGCTCTAATATAATTGCTATTTTTAGCATTACTATAAACAAAGAAAAAACACATCAGGTTAATGACTAGCACATTTACTGTGTAGTAATTCCCCACAGGAGCTTTGTCAGTGCTACTATCAGAAAATGTACATGTAGACAACATGTACATCATACACATCACCAAAACAGGGTTACCTTAGTGACTAGAGTCGCTGTTTTCACCAAATTCATATAGCTTTGGGTAGTTTAATTAGCTAGCTAGCTAGCTACGGCTGATAAAATCTGCGAGGGATACTTTGCAGCTGACAAAATCAACAATCGGTGGCTACAAATGAGACCCAAGTTTTGTATAGAAAAAAAAAGCTGCAATTTCTAAAATTTGAGTTCTAAATCTGCCACTGTTACTATTACAAACTGCTGTACATGAACTGACAGTCGACAGTAACTAAAGGGGACGGAGCCTAGTGAACAATCAAACAAAAGATTATGGTGGCCCTGAGAGTCAAAACACAACAACATTTTACAAAACACTTCAACATTTTTCAAAACACTACAACAATATCAGAAAACCAAACATTTGGTGAGACTCACACTGGGAAAGGAAGTTACTCCTGTGCCAGAAGCACGCAACCTGGGCGTCATCCTGGACTCTACTCTTTCATATGAGTCACACATCAAATCTGTAACCAAATCTGCCTTTTTTCACCTAAAAAACATTTCCAGACTCCACCTTTCACTCTCCTCTGTGGCTGAGACCCTGATCCATGCCTTCATCACATCCCGGCTGGATTATTGCAATGGAGTCCTGTTCGGGGTCCCCAATAAAGCTCTCGACAGGCTCCAGTAGGTATAAAACTCAGCTGCCAGGGTGCTTACCCGCACTTAGCCTTGGCAGCACATCACCCCATCCTCATTCACCTGCACTGGCTTCCAGTTAAGTTCTGCCTAACCTACAAACTTCTTCTACTTGCATACAAATAGCTCCACAACCTCGCTCCACCGTACCTATCGGACCTTCTCCACCAGTATACCCCATCACGGAACCTGAGGTCCTCTGACTCAGGCCTCCTCTACATCCCCCGCACCAACAGGCGGACCTTTGGGGATAGAGCCTTCAGTGTGGTGGCCTCCACCCTCTGGAACTCTCCCTATGGAGATTCGCCTTGCTCCATCTCTGGACACTTTCAAGTCTGCGCTGAAAAGACAGTTATTCACACAGGCCTTTGGCAGCTAGTCTGTTTATCTTGCTCTGTCTTGTTTTGTTTGTTTATCTGTTTTGTTTTGTTTTGTTTTGTTCTTTGTTTTTTTATTTTTCTCTAAAGCGTCCTTGGGTCTCTTGAAAGGCGCAATATAAATATAAGCTATTATTATTGGATGTGAATGCTGCAAGCATTCACAACCTATGTTCTTCTACTACCAAAATTCTTTATTGGGTGTGAATGCTGCAAGCATTCACAACCTATGTTCTTCTACTACCAAAATTCTTTATTTTTCTTCTTCTTCTTATTATTCTTCCGCCGCGTTTTTCAACATCAATTATCTTCAACATACTTAAACCGATTCAAACCATTCAAACTTCTTCTGATTTGGCTTCATTAGGACATTATTGGAAACTTTCAGATTTTTCCATAACCTTAATATTTTCCCAGGAATTCAACGTTAAAATTCCGACTTCTATTAAAGCGGATGGAGCGAAAACGGTTGGACCGCTACCAGTTCCACAAACTTCAACCGATTCAAACCATTCAAACATGAAAACGTTCAGCTGAATTAGGATATTCACAGATGTATTCACTTTTTTCCTAACATTCATACTTTCCGAGATTTTTCCGATTTTTCCCAAATCCTTTTCCCATTGGGAATGCATTACGGAATCCTCAAAAATCTAAAAATTTCACCTTTTTTCAAACTGTGACTACCCATTCATACTTTCAGCTAGAAACTCCATTCAAAATGGAAAATATTCATCATTTTGCTGACATTTTACATATGATTCAACTTTTCAATCCCATTCAAACTTTCAAAAATATTCAGCGTTTTCTGAAACTTTGTTATAATGGAAGTCAATGAGAAAATCCTTCAAACTCACTCATCTTCACCCACACATCACGAATTCATACATTGACGTAGAAACTCCATTCCAACTCTCAAACGTTGACGCTGTTGTCGACTTTCAGGAACTAATTCAAATTTTCAATATCTCTTTTAGTTTTTCTACAAAGTCAGTTTAAAATACATGAAGTTTTCAACCCTTCTCAGACTTTATAATGGGTGTGTATTGCGTGAGCTAGAGTGGGTGATGTCATCACTAGAGTGGAGAGGAGCTGTAAACTCATCAAGAAATTTTCTCTTCAACTCGCTCATACGGCCACAATTTTCACTGTACATACACAATTTATACCACAAAACGTAGGAAAATTTGTCCTGGTCACAGAAATGTTGACATGGAATCTGTGACATGTACACATTTTTGCTGAGCGGCTCCAAAGTGAAGGGAGCGCTGATTTTTTTCTCATTCACTCCCATGTAATCTGAGAGGAGAAATTTCTGGAAACAGCTGAGGTGCAACACATTTGTAACTCGCTCTGGTGACCCCATTTTTGACTGCAGAAATATAAAACATGACACGTGCATTCACGAGAAGTGGCTCTGTCTCACCATCACTTTATTTTCATGATGGGACCAACGGTTTGGGTATGGGAAGAATTTGTTCGAGGAGTTCAAACCCATTAAAAACAGCCTTTGCTGATCTGCTCTCTCATGCGCTGTGTGTGTGCCCCTCAAGTGCAGGCAAGTCAGGAATCACCATGACAACGGCTGCACACACAGACACGCACACACAGCCCTCTACTCATACTTGAATTTTCTCTTCAACTCGCTCATACGGCCACAATTTTCACTGTACATACACAATTTATACCACAAAACGTAGGAAAATTTGTCCTGGTCACAGAAATGTTGACATGGAATCTGTCACACGTACACATTTTTGCTGAGCGGCTCCAAAGCGAAGGGAGCGCCAATTTTTTTCTCATTCACTCCCATGTAAACTGAGAGGACAAATTTCTGGAAACAGCTGAGGTGCAACACATTTGTAATTCGCTCTGGTGACCCCATTTTTGACTGTAGAAATATAAAACATGACACGTGCGTTCACAAGAAGTGGCTCTCTCTCACAATCACTTTATTTTCATTATTGGACCAACGGTTTGGGTATGGGAAGGAGTTAAATCTTCTCTAAAAGAGCTCTCTTCTCTGTGTTCTGTCTGTCTCTCTCTGCTCTTCTGCCAGGTGCACCTAGTTTATTACCATGGCAACCGCTGTGCCACACAAACTCACAGAAACATGATGTGTGTGTGTGTGTGTGTCTACATCTTACATGCAGACATGACAGGGGCAGAATCTCCATTTTAACCCTTTAGTTGCCAGAGTTATTTGAGGAAAATATTCATTTCAACATTTCAAAAGGCTTTCACTTGAAAGTGGTGAGAGATAAAGGCATACTGTAAATGAGAAAACTATTCATCATGACCCAAAGTTTGTGATGGGAGTAAATTAACTCATCTAATTTGCATATTGTGGCGTCACTAGGCGGCGGCCATATTGGATTTCATAAATCTCAGTAAAACATTCAAATATTCTAATCATTAAAACTTTATTTTATTAAAGGCAGCTATTCAGTGTGGCGTCAGCTTTTCAACAAACTTTCAAACATTCAAATCATTCAAACTTCATTGTATTCAAGGCAGCATTGCAGCGTGGCTTCAGCTCGCAGCATTCACACCCGCAATTTCTTCAGAAATTGCTTCTCTAGTTACTATTATTATTACTATTGGACAAGGACTCCTTGATGTGGATTGGAAACAGTGTCAGTCAGTCTGTGACAAATGTAAGTAATTCTTCTTCTGTTTGATTTCCTGTGGACTGGATGCCTTGTGGCACATTGCTGCCTCTCACAGGCCTGGAGCATTAGATAAACGCTACTAGTGACAAATTCAGCAACTTAATCATGCCATCAGGGTAAAAACAAGAGATATATTCCAATATATTATATTATACCTAATTTCCATGCATACTGCACAGGATAGTCACAGTCCACAGCTCTGCTGCTGAGTCTCTCACCCTCTCTCCTTTTGCGCAGCAGCATATTCAATTCAATCCAATAGTACCTACCTTTTCTAATTTGAGTCTCACCAAATGTTTTGTTTTCTTAAATGTTGTAGTGTTTTGGGAAACATTTTGTATTTTGAATTGTTGTAGTGTTTTGGGAAGTGTTTGGTGAAATGTTTAGTTTTTGAAATGCCGAAGTATTTTCCAAAATGTTGTTTTATTTTAGGAAATGCTTTGGAAAATTATATTGTTTTTGTTGTTTTCTTTACGTGTTCTGAAATGTCATTATGTTTTGACCCTCAATGCCTTCGTAGAAGATAGATTACACACCTGCGGTACAACCACATTTAACATAATAGTATTTAGCATCACCTCAACCTGTGCGTCTCCTTCCCAGGGTAAAGAGAATACAGCAGAGTAGCTCCCATTGAGATGATCCAACACTTGCCCAGCTACACCTGCACCAAGCTTCAGGTTGTGGAGCCGGGCGAGTAAGAAGTCCCCCCCATACTTCTTGGGACGACCATGGAAGTCAGACATTTTTATCATGACCTCCAGCTGATCCCCTACATGCCACTGTCCTCCTCCCCTCCTTGGGAGAATGGTGAAGGTGCTGTGAGCTGGATCACTGGTATTCTCCAGGGAAACAGGAGCTGGCAAAGGTGGAGTTTCAGGCCAAGCAATGGAGTCTAGTAGGAGGCGTTCCTCCAGAGCGTCCTCAGGGGAGAGTGGCTGGAAGGTGCAGAAGCTGTGATTCATGTCAGGATCAGTGGAAACTTTTGGGACGATGATGGACTTCATTATATGCTGAAACTGGCAGGGGGTCAAGAGAGAGAGATGGTGACAAAGACGCATCAAACAAATGCAAATGCAAGCTAATTTACTAACGAAAGCAAAAGGGTCAAGAAGGCCCAAGGTCAAAGTGACTGAATATATTTGGGGGATTGATAAGAACAGTTGATCTGTTAGCTGGAGGAATCTCTACCTTTCCCAACTTCCCATGTGGCCCTTACTCTGTTGTTGGTTATTGAGCCATGGAGAGCATGCATTTTTTTATGCTATTCAAATTCAAAGATTGTGTGTGTGTGTGCATGCGTGCGTGCGTGCGTGCGTGTGCGTGTGTGTGTGTGTGTATTTTAAGGTCTTGTTCACTAAAGTTCATGTTTCAGGGTATTTTATTTCATTTGCCCAGAAGCCATTTTGAGGCTGTTTCACTTCTGATGGTGTGACATGAGAGTAAGATTTTCATGGCCAAAAGATGCACTGGATTTTGTTGCATACACAACTGAGCCACATTCAAAGTGCAAAACAATATTTTTACAAACTCCACTGATGAAGAGAATCCAGGTAAAAACCATTAAACCTCATTGATTTTTCTCTCATTAATCTTTACAGATCACAGTGGAGGAGAAGGTAAAATGAAGTTGATGATTAAGGAGGAACGACTGTGCTCGGAAGTATGTGTTGTTGGTTATGTTATCTGTGACCACACCCAGTGATGTCATGATGTCAAAACAAGATTGTCAGAGTGTTGGGTTGCTTTTTTTCATATTGCTGTGTTTATACAATAAAAATCTTTAATAAGATGAACTGTTTTTTTCTGTTTCCACTATGAAAAGTTGTGGATGGTACCAATGGAACCGTTCTGTACTGTGTAGAAGCAAAATAATTCAAATGGTCGGGAGCTGGGCCAGAAAGCTCGCGACCTCGCTCTTTTCCTCTCAAACGGACTTTCTTTGTCTTCCATTAGATATCAAAAACTCAAATACTCAGAGGAAAAAAAAAATCACTGGAGACACGTAGAATCAGATGCAACTGAGTTTAATGTGCTCGCAGGCAACAAACACATCACAACTCAATGAGTCAAGCTCCGGAGCAAGACTGAAATTTCTTTGTTTGCGCACTTGTTTTTATTGTAAAGATTTTCTGCTGAGTCATCTCTTTCTTAATCCTTCCCACTTGGCTCTGATCGTAACGATATCCCACCTCTGCTGAGTCACTTTTTCTCCTTTCATCCTACCACCATAATGGTGTCATATTTCTGCTGAGTAATGTTTTTCCTAGACAATCTAAGACCGCCTCCTCTTACTAGGGTCATTCTCAGGACAAGCTGTAATTCCCCTAATTTTCCACCAGTGTTTCTGAGCCCATCCTCATGCTATTTTTAGAAATGATGCCTAGGTACTTCTCCACCACAATGCTTAAATGCTCAGTGAGCGTGTGTGTCATAGGAATACATGAAATAATAAACCAGTGTGTAATTTGTCAATGCACAGAGTACACTGCTTCAACACGTATCTTTTAAAAGTCAACTAAAAGGTACAGTATATGTCTTCAGTAAATCAGTACATTACACTACAACTGTTACCATTTTTGGTACCCCTTCTGTTAGGGTACCAAGTACACAGATCTGGTACTAAAAGGTGGAGCTGTGAACACTGCAGTCCATTGATTGGTCAAAAGTGGACGGTCACTCTGCTCAGGGCCAAGTTGTGGCTGGTTCTGAGGCAGAAGCCACTGTTCATATTGTGGAGAGTTTATTAATGGAATGTAACTATAAAATTAATTTAAGGACATTTTGCTGCCTCATGCAGCAGCCAGAGTCGGAGAAAAAAATAACTTCATTCACTGGGCCAACTGCTGGGATTTTAAGGTGGAACATTAACTTGTAATGTTACTCAATGCACGAGCTGCCAAAGTGACTCAATCAACACACCTTAATTATTCCACATGACAACACTGACCATTACTTAAGTTTTTATATGACAGACACTTTTAGTATTGAGGGGATCTTCAAATGTTTATATGTATTGATTTTGGCCGCATATACAGTACAGGCCAAAAGTTTGGACACACCTTCTCATTCAATGCGTTTTCTTTATTTTCATGACTATTTACATTGTAGATTCTCACTGAAGGCATCAAAACTATGAATGAACACATGTGGAGTTATGTACTTAACAAAAAAAGGTGAAATAACTGAAAACATGTTTTATATTCTAGTTTCTTCAAAATAGCCACCCTTTGCTCTGATTACTGCTTTGCACACTCTTGGCATTCTCTCCATGAGCTTCAAGAGGTAGTCACCTGAAATGGTTT